TCTCATAACTGTTTTCCACAGTGGCTGCACTAATTTAGATTCATACCAACATTGCACGAGGGTTCCCTTTTCCCATATCCTCACCAACACTTGTTATTTGTCTTTCTGATTCTAGCCGTTCAGACAGGTATAAGGTGATATCTCAGACTTGTCTGTCTTTGTTGGTAGAAAAGAAGTAACCTCCTGAGATGGAATTATTGAGGATTCTGGGAGATCACATAATAGAGTTTTGTGGCAAAGAGTGTATGTAAGTGGCAGTAAGAATAAAAATGTAAAAGGTTAAATCCTACTACAGGAAAGGAAACCTCCACTGAGATTAACCAGTAGGAATCAGAGATGTTGCAGGAAGACCACAGAAAGATTGAATGTAGCTTTAACATGCTTTATCAAATAGTTGGTTATGGCATGTACTGAAGAGGATGGGGCATGAGGTGAGGATTGGAGGCTTGAGGTAGGTAGAAAAGACTCCATAGAAACTATTTCAGGCACAATAAATGGAAAAGGGATGGTCAAGAAAAAGGATGAGTCAAAAGAACATGGAAAGCATACATGTTAGCAAATTTGGTCAGTGGGCAAATTGTGGCCTCATCTTCCATGCTCAACAATCCAGAATAGCAGTTGAAGAATGAAAAATAAGGACTTGCCAAAGCGAGGATTAAAGCCTGGCGAAAAAGATGCTTGGTACGAGATAACACAGGACTCTAAGGTAGCAGCTCTTGGTTCCAGACCGGGCTGGTGAAGTTGGAAGGACATGACATTCTCATGAGCAAGTCTAGTACCAGTGCACAAATGAAAAAGGTAGTAAGGATCCATAAAAATTAATGCAAAGTACCTGGTTTAAAGTAGGGGCTGAAAGTATATTTGCCACCATCATTAGTGGTAGCTCCAAATGCCTTTCTCCTGGGAATACTACCAGGGAGCTATCTCAGATGAAGACTGTTAAAAGCACCAGCTTTGGAATTATCAGCTGAATTTCAATCTAGCTTTGTTATTAACAGTATGAAAAGTTATTCAACTTCTGTGTATCTCAACTTCCTCATCTGTTAAGTGGGGGATAACATACTCAGGAGAGGGTAAAAAAAAAATGCTTAGAAATCATTTAGCTAGGTCCAGAGGTCATACTTTTGTAGTCACTTTATCATTAAAGTATCTCTTTTAATTAGGAGAAATCAAAGTCTTTCTTATGGGATACAATCTATTATATATGAGCTTCACATTAAAGTTAAGTTTATCCTTTGAAAACTAAATTAAGAATGTAAAGTCAAGCCACTTGCCTAAGAGCCAACGCAAGGCCATTTTCCTCAGGATGGCCAAAATCAAATTCAATCATACAGTAAAATCAAATCAAGGTAACTTGAATGTAACTTAAGAAGGCAGGACTAATGATGATTATAGGAGAAAACTTATAAAGTAGTCCCTCCTCATCTGTGGATAGTATGTTCTAAGACCCCCAGCACATGCTTGAAACCATGGACCGTACCAAACTCTACATACAAACTATGAATCCTAACTGCATTCCTGTAATGTAGGGGTCATTTAAAAATTTTTGTATGTGAGATAATTAAGATCAGAGCTCAAATAACTTTTATAAAGTCTTAAAGCGGATAACTGGATTCTTTGACTCCAAAACCAAAGCTCAAAGATGTTGATAGATGAGAGTTTGTGGCAGCCCTGGAGGGTAGCACGTTGCCCTGTACAGTACAGGCCTAGAGAGCATGACTGAGCAAAGGAGTTGCAGGGGGGAGGGGGGCAGTGGGTTGTGAAGATGAAAGAGGCAAAGGGGAGTTTCTGAATAATTAGAGAATATTTAAGGACCTACTCAGGTCCTTAAAGTATCAGATAGAAGATTGAAGACTGGAGTGATGAAGACAGATTCTTGAATGGGGGCAAAAGAGAATAAAAATTGCTGTTTTCTACCAGACTGAAATCCTGTAATGAAGGAAAATGTACAGTGGAGATAAAAGAATCATACAGTTACTTAGAAGAGAACAGAGGATTCATAGAGTTTTCTTTTCAGATAGGTGGCTTAGATGGGATGATTGTTCTCAGATGTGACACTACCTTAAATCTGTAAGAGTTAAAAATTTCAAGAGGTGGTATTTAGTTTTCTAGGAGTTAAAAAAAATTGAGCCTTGGAGAGGTGATCTATTCTGTAATCTATGGCATATTTATAAATCCGATAGCGCGAGTGAGGATGGGTAGTTTGGTGGCTGGAGATCCCTCTTGTCTTTTTAACTTTCTGGAGGGTGTATGCTTGGCAACAACAACTCAGGAGGTGGTCTCTCTTTATTTGGCTTTCACTCAGAAACTGTTTTACATCACAATAAATCTTCAGTCTCTTTAGCATTGGGTCCCTGGTGATCAAAGTATTCAGTTCCAGTACCTGATAAAATCATGAGTATCTTGGTAGTTACTTTATATACATCCTCTTCTTTTCAACAGTGAGCCTTTTAAAAAAAATTGGACTCATTAGGAAAAGGGAGTCTTTATTCCTTAGTATATAGATGAGTATATTTGAACAATGGCAGAAGCTAATGTACTTGGGGCCTAAAAGAAAAAATATTCTCCTCCTTTCCTTCTTCGTTTTAATGGAATTTCAAGTATAATTTAATGTGTCTCCTGGGAGTGAAAGCTATATTCGATTAAGCTAGTAATATGGAGAATAGCTAGAGTAAGTCTTAGGGGTATAAGAGTGGGAGTGGTTTTGGTATAGTAAGCTCTCGCCAAGTAATTTTATCATCCAATCTGTAGAATCCTAGATCTTAGATTTGGTAAAGATTTAGAAGTAATGTGGGCTAACACCCTATGCACTGGAAAATTTTTTCTTCACCGTTTTCTCAGGCAAGTGAATGAGGAGCTTCTACTTGAGATCCCCTAGTGAGTGCATTAGCCTGGGAGTGTTCACACTCTAGGAGGATCTGGACTGCTGGGGTTTTACTTCCCTCTATATACACCGTGTATGGCACTGTGCCTCAATTTCCTTGCTTTGTTGTAGAGTAGTGCTAATTGTTGAGAAGTGCCACATATTGTCATTTCTTCAAGCCTTGGGATTGAAAACATGCAAAAATAATTCCCATTTCTGCCACTTACTGTGTGACTTTGGACAATTTCTTAGTCCCTTTGCTTTCAATTTTTGCATGTGAAACAAGACCGTACCTAACTAGGGAGCTTGTAAATTGTGCTCTGAGACCTCCTTGGAGAATTCTTTAAAAGGATTAATCATGACGTCCATAGTCTGACAGTAGGAGGCACTTCATATGACCTGTTCCCCTTGGGCCTGATTGTAGTCTTTGATCAGTATATGGTATTTGATTTGGAGTTCAGATCCCTGTGGTAATCTGTCCAGTACAGGGTGAAATAGAGCTATTGCTTTATAGGTACAAGGTGCTGTATGAGTTGTTCTTTCAGGGAGGAAAGCTAGGATGTGGACAACTGGGTAGGAAATTTTGGACCTGTGTACCAGTAGTAGAGGACCTACTTTCCACAACCTAGGGGAGTATAATGGTTATGAAGAACAAGATCATTAGGTTGCCTGGAGGTGTGAAGAGAAAAGGGAAATACAGGCCTGTGTCAGAATTTAATAGCATTAACTAAGACTTCTAACCCCAAACAACTGGTGGAAAAATGAAAACTTCAGTGACACTATTGTTTGGTCTACACGAAAACAATCTGTTGCAGTGATTCCCATTAGACTTCCTGGTTTTATTTTTCATGTGTTTAGAAGCAGCCTAAATAGTTAATTTTTTGTAAGTGACTATCTGCTGCAACTATTTATGTTATCTATTTGAAAACCACTCATTATGTATTAGTAAAAGATTCAAAGGTCAAAGAGGGTGAATTTATTTGCCCGATGTTTATAAGAAATTGTCAATGTTGAGAGAAGGAAAAGCTGCATTTTCTCCATCATTCTTCCCCATCTCAGAATGTTTTTACTTGTAAGAGAAGCCACCCCAAATATTCTCTTGGTAGGACCTTCGTTTTGGGAAACATGTTATTGATTTTTAAGTAGCCCCTAAGATCTTATTGCCATCTTTCTGGAAACCCATTAGTGGGGGTGTAAAACTTCCACAAAGTGGGCTAGGCAAATCTCAATGATAGCACTTCACTAGTTGTTTCTAAGGAAAGCAATAATACTCTCTCTTCATTTTTTTTAAAACCTAAATCTGAGGAAAAAGGCAAATGTTCTGAGGTGTCTGGCTTTTCCGTTTGATAGGGGTCAATAATACCATGACTATGTCAGTGGAGTGGATTGCTTTCAATAACTCACAGCATAAGTCTAAATGTTTTTAGTTTACAGCCCCAAGGGGCTTTACTAAAGATCATATATGTTTTTGACAAACTGTCTGCTATTGGTTTTCTTTTAGAATGGAAAACTTAATTTCTGCTTCATTTACATTTAGTGTGGTTTTGGTACCAAGTACATCAGATATTGATAAATTGGCAGCCAGATACGACTGAGTGGTTGTAATGATCCATTAAATTGAGCACTCTGTTTTTCAGCTATACTGGATAGCTAGGAGTAGTGTGTGTGTGTGTGTGTGTGTGTGTGTGTGTGTGTGTGTGTGTGTGT